TTTATTTAGGAATCAGATTTGTAGCCATTTATATCTATTATTACTATTATTATTACAATTTCAGAAATTAGAAAAGTGTTAATGAACATTGCTAAGGAAAGTGACGGTGAGGAGATAAACCCATGGATTCGAGGATGCGAAAATCATTTAACATGGAGTGCCACTTAAACAAAGTCTGGAGATAGCAAGGTGATTTTGGCAAAATTCCTTTCCTTTCTTGAGCATATTATGGATACGCATGAAGATTTTGAGGAACCTCTTTTTAACAAGTGTCTACAAAGTGAAATTGAACCAAGGCAGTGGCTTGATGAGAGTAAGTTCTTTAATTACCTACATATATTAATTATACTTGGGCATGGTCAGTGTATATTTTTATGTTACAACAATCCACCTCATATTATGCAGTGCTTAATATATAGAAAAAATTTAATATTATAGTTAATTGATATGTTTGATTATTTTACCCTTAATTTTTAGAATCTGTTGTATATGAGAAGGTTAAAAAAGCTCTGACAAATAAAAGACTTCTTAAAGGCATCAAACAGGCATCCCCATTAAATCAGACAAGCTGTCTGGAAGGTTTCCATTCAGTCTTAAATCATTTTGCACCAAAGATGATCCATTTTTCTTACCCAGGAATGTATATCAGGTAATGGAACTCTTGAACTAAAGTTATGCATGTTTTAAATGTAGGGCACTTTTTTGTCTTTCTAAAAGTCTTGAATAATATTTAACCCATTTTGACTCAATAAAGGAAAGTGTACTAACAGCAGTGGTACGTTATTTGTTACTTACAGGCATATCATAGCTGTTGTACATTTTAATTGCAATCTTAACCAAGAAACCAGAAAGAAGTCTGATGGGTCAGATCAGATTGCAGTTATATACCCAAAATTTAAAAATGGGGAAGCCACAGTGAGAGACTCAAAGTGAAAGCTAATTTTGGTAAGCAAATATTTGGGTATCTGTTTTGTGTGTACTTTTTGCACAACATCATTTAGTGTTTAACTGCATACTTTCAAATCTCAAATTATTTTTTTTGTTTGAAGATTATGTTCAAGAAGTCTGGATGACTCTGCTTGATGCAATGAAAAAGAATGTTCTAGAGGAGGAAGTAAAATTGATAAAAGAAATTACCCCAGCACCAATGAACACAATGTTAGTGAAGCAGCCAAGAGATAAAGCCATTGAGAAGCGGGAAGAGAGAAGAAAAATGATCACTAAAGATGTGCCCCCAACTGCATGTTGAATTTTTTTGACATAAATAAAAATAAGGATAGCTGTATTCATGTATTTCACACCTGCTACATTACATCTCATATTGAGAATTATCAGGCATATATAAATTGCTGTGTCTAAAATAGTTACTTTCTTTATAGTAAGCCGTGATGAGCCAGCTCTAGCAGAGAGACAAAGCCAAAGGACAAAACCATGTTGCAAGGAATGTCAACAACCCATGAAAGGGCATAAGTTTGTTGCAAATTGCCCACGGAACAAAAGAACTGAGAATGTTTAAAGGTTAACATTTATTTACATAAGACATCAACTATGGACATATTTAGGAGATAAATAAAAGAATTAATAGTCTGATTAATCCTCTTCATATCCTGTGAAGGTCTTTTCACTTGGAAATTGTGTCCGAATTGCTTGGTATACACAGGATGGTAATGGTATTCTTAATTTGCCCAATTTGCCAATACACAAGTCTGGTAAATTGCCTGTATGATACAGATCTAAGAAATCTAAAAAGATACACTCCATGAGAAGAATACTCTAATTTGTGATCTTAAAATCTTGATTTTATTCTTACACCATGACAAATAACACACACAGTGCACTACAAACAATGCCAGTTACATTATTTTTATTAAATATGCACTTACGCATTCTCAGAAGCCGCTTGGGTATATCTCCGAAGATCCTTCTTTTTATAATTTGAGGCCGCCAATCGTAGACTCCATTTTTCCAAGCAGTTCGACCTAAATCCTGGATGACTGGTAATGCAAGAAGGTGGAGTTTCAACGTCTTCTAACACTTTGTCTGAGTGTAGGGACTCGATGCACCTTTCAATTTATACTTAGTTCACAATTATTACATTTGCACCTATGTTTTGGAATTGATAAATAACTCTCTCAATCCACAATCTACAAACAAACATGCGTGGTATTTAGGTACTACAGTAAAATACTCACCAATTCATTATAGGAATTTTTTCATCCAATCTTTTTTGCAGGAAATTTACGTGAACTTTTTCTTTCTTTCCTGATACCTTTCAACCCATTCCTCGTCTGCTATAGGTTCATCATCGTACGGTGCAAGCGCGGATAAACTGCAAACATTTTTTTTAACAGCGCATGAAGCATAGCTGTGTTGCATCCCATCTGAGTGAGGTTCATACTCCTCTATCTCAAGTTCACAGGGTTCGAATTAAATTTTTAAAAGTGGATAGCGATTTTCTGCCTGTTTCCCTTATGCAATAAAAAGTGAATAGCGAATATCTACTAAGTGATTAAACTATTTAAACTTATTTTTTATTTACCTTGTATTTACTTAAACTTGCAACGTCGCTATTTATGGAAATATTTCTAATTGGATTTTGAAAGATTGTCATAATCTCAGCCAAATGGAAATGATTGTCGCTCTTTTATCATTTGAATTAAATGTTTTAAATTAAAATTGATACAACATGCATCAAAATATGACATTAGGCTCTCTATTTTAATCATAGGCAACGCAAAAATGTGTGTAATAATCTCGCGCGATGTCAATCTATAACCTGCATTTTTGAGAATATAGCATACTCTTCACCATTGACTTCCGTTTCAAACCGCAAATTTCATGTTACAAACGTATAAAGCAAACGTGTGAAAATGTCTGGTTTGTGCTAAGACGAAAATGGTTGTAAAACACATCTTTCCTTCCAATTCTTTCCAGTTATCCCGACTTTTATCCTGCTAAGCTCACGAAATAATTGTTTTGATGTTAAACTATAAAGTTTTCGCGTGTCGGTATAACAAATTGAATAGCGAAACGCAAAAAATGGATAGCGAATCGCTATTCGCTACTCGTTAATTCGAACCTTGCAAGTTCATAATCCGATATTTCTTCAAATTCGGAAGCTGATGACGAGGATTCTTCATCGTAAGTCTCGGATGCCGACATTGGGAAAAAAATCGACTTTGATAAACTTTGATTGCCGATAAGATAAGATAGAAACGCTGCTGTAAACATATATATATATATATTTATTGTAATGTGACACTAGTCGATTTTCTTGTCTGCCCGGTATGACGTCAGTTCTCAGACTCTTTTTTCCCGGCCAACTTTTGAAAAAAACCAATTTTGGCATGTTTGATCCAAAATATCTTTTAGAAGTATTTATCCGACCATCGAATGATACATATCATTCGAATCGTCTGATTTTTGCGAATTTTTGGTGAAAAAATGGTATTCATGTCATATGCACTTTAAATGTCCTATATGTGAACTTAAACAATATATTTCAAGTTTTGTTTACCATCTACATACCTACAATTAATGCCGCGCACGAGGAATCAGTGCATCAGATAAATGAGAGGCAGTTAAACATGCTTTTTTCCAATTTGGGGAACCTTTTTCAAGCATTCTATATCAACTCATTGCCTTAGTTTCAACATTCACCCACAGCTCGCTACCAAGGCAGCGTATTCAAAACATCTTATTCCCCGAGTTTCTGTGTTCTGAATTTCCTGCAAGAGATCTCTTCAGCGATTTGGAAAAATGCGAACACCTGTTCTGGAGTCTGACAGGAGAAAGCGTCGAGTCGTTTAGATGAATTGGTCAGGATGTTGGCCCTGTAATGTCCATGTACACTAGACAAAGGCAACCCAGAGTCCGAAATAGTAATTTTAAATTAAATGAGATGAACCGCATACTTCTGCTTATTATCTAGCTGAAAATGTATCCGGAGATTTCAATGTTAAGTGCATTGTTCATGGCCAGTCCTACCACAATAGAAAGAGAAATCCGCTTTCTGCTGCCAATGCTGTGGACTTATTTTAGAAACTTAGTTCAATGGCCTACCCCTGAGCAGTGGATGGACATGAGTAATAATTGGGAACACTTTCCTGGTGGAGTAGCAGCAATTGATGGTTCAGTTCCTCCCTTTCATCGTCATCCAGAAGCAAATTGTCATACGGAGGATTTTGATTATTTTCTTGGGCGTCGTCATTCAAGTTCCCCAGAACTTCTCCATTGCCCATACCAGGACGTATCTGCTGTTGCATTGCATGTCTTGCAGCTTCGCATTCCAGTGGACCAATTTGATTTGCATAGCGCATTTCATTAGCCCTTTCAAGCAAACCCCTACAACGATTTTACAAGCATAACTCGATTGCTTATAGTGTTAAAGCATGCACATGTATAATTCAAAATTCAATGCAATGATGACATACATATATATGCAACATACAAAAGCAGATTTGTATGTAAGTAGATACGAAACCTGTCGTATATTGAACCTACCCTTGTTGCTCTCTACCTATAAAGTCCCTAACTCTTCTTCGTGCTGTGTTTCGTTGGCCAGCATTGTGGTTCATACAGCTCCTGCACGTTTTCCGGCAGTTGCTCAAAACGACCGTCTCTCCTTACGTCGTTCAATATCACGTCCCTGTCATATTATTGCATCCAAACTCGTGTATTGAGTACAATTTAATACAGAAAAAGTGAGAGAGATTATTTACAACAAGCTAATATTTATACCTAACTACATTACCCATCATGCACGGGGCACGAGTTACACAGGGCACCTATGTAGATAACGTTACATCCTTCCTTTTTTTTCCTTTCCTTTAGAAATATACCTAAAAGTTCTTTTTTTTTTTTGAAGATTTTCTTTAAAAATAGTTCTATAATATGTGTGCCTATGTAATAGGGTTCCAAATAATCTATATTGTTTTTCTAAAGAGTTCATAATGAACTGACAAGCAATGTTCTCAGCCTTATAACGGACTAATCCAATCCTAGTCTAGGCAACTTGGCGGTTTGAATACTCGGCCACTCCTTGTCACTCCACTGATGGCTTTCCCAGGGCTAACAACATGTTGGACCTGCAACTTTGGCGGCGTTAATGGAGGTGGTGTTGATGATGGTGACACAGGTGGAGGTTGTTTGTCTGGCTGATAAAACTGTTCCTTAGAAGCACGCAAATGTTTACGATTTCTCCTGAACTGCCTGCCATCCTCAGTTATCACTTCATAAGATCTGATACCCGCTTCTCTTGTTACCTGACCTTTTATCCATTTCTTTTCTCGATCATTTGGTTGAGGGGTAATTCGCACCACTTGACCTTCTTTCAGCGTTGGAAGCTCCTTTGTCTGTCTGTTGTAATAGGATGCTTGTTTCTCCTTCCTTGTCAGAATTTGTTTTCTTACATCAACTGGCGCTGGTTGTGGCTTTAGTAATGGTTCAGCAGTCGGTAACTGTGTCAGAGTTCTTCGTCCAAACATTCTTTGAGCTGGGGACGTATCCATGCCTTCCGTAGGAGTGTTTCTCCAGCTAAGCAACGAGATAAAATACTCCATACATGCCTCTTTGCTTTTCTTCATGAGGTTCTTGGCTGTCTTGACTGCATTTTCGGCTCTTCCATTGCTCTGAGCATGCAATGGTGAACTGGTGATGTGCTTAGTTCCTGCAAATCTCATAAAGTTAGCAAATTCAACTGAGTTAAATGGGGGACCATTGTCACTACAAAGTTCATTAGGAATTCCATGAGTAGAAAAGTGTCTCTTCATCTTGGAAATTACACTTTTACTTGTTTTGCTACTTAATGGGTCTACTTCAAAATAACCGCTATAGTAATCGACTGTGCACAAAAAGTCTTTACCGTCTATCGTAAAAATGTCAGTGGCAATCTTCTTCCAGGGTCTGTCTGGAATCTCGTGATAAATAAGGGCTCCCTAGCTTGACTTGTACTTGATGATAGACAGATGTCACACTTACTAATGTAATCAGTGAGTTCAGCATTCATACCTGGCCAATAGACTAGTTCTCTAGCTCTTCGAAGACATCCTTGCACCCCAATGTGTGACTCATGCAATTTCAACATAATCTTGTGTCTGAGAACCACAGGAATAATACAACGTAGCCCTTTGAAGATGATGCCATCGACTGCAGACAATTCATCTTGAATACCAAAATATGGATGCTTGCTGGTAGACTGTCTTTGGAATTTGGAAATCCATCTAAAATTACCTTCTTGAGTAATTGCAATGTTGGATCTGCTGCAGTTTTCTGCTGTAACTCTTTCATCTGGTGGTCAGGAATTGAAAGAAACTGTGCTGCATGGACATGCTCTGTCTCTACTTCAGTTTTAGTAGGTATGTAGTCTTCTAGATATGCTCGAGATAACGTATCAGCAACGACCATATCTCTGCCAGGCTTGTAGCGAATTTCATAGTCATACTGTTGTAACCGCAAAAGTAACCGCTGGAGTCTCTTTGGCGCTGTGACTAGTGGTTTCTGCGATATGGAGACAAGCGGCTTGTGATCGGTCCATAAAATAACCTTACGACCATACACATACTGATGATTATGTTCCATACCAAACACTTGTGCTAACAGCTCTTTCTCGATCTGTGAATAGCGCTGCTCTGCTGAAGTCAGAGCCCGACTTGCATATGTCACAGGTTGTCCATTCTGCATGAGAGCAAACCCGAGACCATTCTGTGAAGCATCTCCCTGTCCCTCAGTTGCATCAGTATCGCTGAAATACTTCAGAACTGGAGCTTTAACAACTGCTTCCTTTATACGCTCGAAGGCATCCTCTTGCTCTTCTGTCCAATTCCATTCTGCATCCTTGTGTGTCAGCCGACGCAAAGGCTCGCTCATTCCAGATAAATTGTTCAGGAATTTTGACAGGTACTTCACAAGACCAAGGAATCGCAATACTGCTGGAACATCATTCGGTCGCTTCATTTTCTGGATCGCTTCCACTTTTCTAGGATCTGGTTTCAACCCTTCTCTTGTGATTAGGTGGCCAATAAAGGACACTTCCCTGGATTTGAAAATCAGCTTATCCTTGTTTAACTTGACATTCTTTGCTCGACATCGTTCAAACAGCATTGTCAGATGTTGGTCGTGGTCACACTCTGCCTCTTCATCGGTGTCTCCCTTTCCGATGATGAGTAAATCATCAGCTATCTTATACACCCCTGGCAATCCTTCAAGGCATTGATCAAGCTTCTGCTGAAAGCACTCGGAAGCTGGGCAAATTCCATAGGGCATGCGAAGCCAGCGATACCTACCCCATGGTGTCTGAAACGTAGTAAGCTTGCTAGAATCTTCATCCAACTGGATCTGTAGATACCCATCTTTGAGATCAGCCTTTGTGAAAAACTTTGCTTTGTCTAACTCTGGGAGTATCTCCTCAACAAGTGGAAGGGGATAATGTCTACGCTTCAGTGCGGTATTTAGATGCTGTGGGTCAATACATACCCTTACTTTTCCATTTGGCTTGGCAGATGCTACAAACCCAGACACCCATGCTGTTGGTTTCTCTTCTTTCACTAAGACGTTAAGGGCTTCAAGGCGATCAAGCTCTTCTTTTAACTTGGGTTTCACAGCAATTGGGACACAGCGAGGTGGCATCACAACTGGAGTCACTGTTTCATCCACGTCTAGATGAAGTTTGCCTTCAATCTTACCCAAACCTGTAAATAGATCTGCATACTTTGACAATACATCCTCTTTACTTAATCTCTGCTGCTCCCGATATGTTACTGCATTACTACAATCCATATGTAAGATATTTTGGTGTCGAATGACTAACAGTTCCATCTTTTGAGCTGTTTTAACTCCTTACCGAACACAATATTCATAACACAATATACGAACATTAAAAAGCGGTAAAGTAGCGCAAAAATACAGGAAAAATGCAACGTCCCCGTAGGCCTATTCGAGAAATAGAGAGACACATTTTATACGACATGTACAGGCGAAATGGCGTCCTTTGGGACTGTAACGTTATCTACATAGGTGCCCTGTGTAACTCATGCCCCGTGCATGATGGGTAATGTAGTTAGGTATAAATATTAGCTTGTTGTAAATAATCTCTCTCACTTCTTCTGTATTAAATTGTACTCAATACACGAGTTTGGATGCAATAATATGACATGGTGTCAGGTGTGGAGAAACTTTAGCTTCTCAAAGAAAAGAGATATCAAAAAGCTAAAGTACAAACGCTGATAAAGCGAATAATCTCTAGAAGGAATCGAGTCCTGAAGTGCATTAATTATGGCGACACGAAGGCAGCAAGAACGACAAGAAAATGAAAGCCCAACAGGTCCATCAACTCAGCAGATTTTTACATCTAATGTACCGCTCCCACAGCCAATAAGTCTAACAGGCAATTTAGCGAAAAATTGGAAGAACTGGCGTCAGACTTGGCAAGCATATGAAGTAATCACAAACCTCGCCGAACGCGACCAAAAATATCGAGCTGCTACGTTTATCACATGTATTGGTCCTGAAGCCATGGAAATTCATAATGGTTTACCTTTTCGAAATGACGAGGAAAGACAAGACATTACGAAGATAATAGAACTATGGAACAATTAGTGCATAGGTAAGACAAATCCTATTTATGAGCGGTACAAATTTCACAACAGATTTCAACAACAAGGAGAGACAATAGACACGTATGCGACAGTCATTCGTACTTTAGCTGACACATGCGAATTTGGAGCCCTTAAGGAGGAGTTAGTTAGAGACAGAATAGTATGCGGAATACGTGACAATACTTTGCAGAAGAAATTGCTACAAGAAACCAGTTTAACCTTAGAAAAATGTTTAAACATGTGCAGAGCAGCCGAAGCAGCAAACAATCAACAGAAGCAAATATCGCACAACACTTCAGAGTCTACACATGCACTCAAACCAAAAGGGAAGCCCCAATTCAATAGCCAAAGAAAACCGAAGTTACCATGTCCTGATTGTAAATATTGTGGCAGGCGACATGAGCGTAAGAAAGAAAAATGTCCAGCCTACAATAAAACATGCAATAACTGCTCAATGAAACATTCTTTGAGCTGGGGACGTATCCATGCCTTCCGTAGGAGAAACATTTTACTAGTTCTGTTTGTCAGCAACCAAAAAGACAAGAAAGAGGGCCAAAGACAATACAAACAGGCAGATCTAAAACACACCAAGTTCATGAGGAAACTGATCAGTCCACTGATGATGAGATTTGGTCAATTACAGAACGAGTAAGTACAGTCCCGGGGAGGAATTGTGTATGTGCAGGTATACAATTGGGCGACCAGATAATACAGATGCAAATTGACACTGGTGCAACATGCAATGTATTACTGCATTCCTATTTGCCTAAAGATGTCAAGGTCCAACCAACCAATAGAAATTTATTTACCTATTTTGAGTCAAAGCTAGGCAAGGCAAGTGTTGAACATTAGTAACCCAAAGAACAAGTGTAAGTACTTTGAAGAATTTTTGATTGTTAAAGATGGGTCCATTCCCCTGTTTGGTGAAAGACTGTACAGCAATCCAAATGACAAATGTCATTGCATAATACTGTTCATATTAAAAGTCCCAAAGGCATAATAACGATGGAATATTTGTTGACTAGCTGGCAATAATACAATTTGACTTAAAACGTCTTTCGAGAAATAACGGGGGAAATTTGATGTCATGGCTGCTATATTAGCATCATATCATAAGTTCATAGGAAACAATCTTCATACAAAAGTTGTTTTATAGGTTGCATTAGCATATGCACTGACATAGCGAATAAGATCTTGGGATTTTGACGAAAGAACGTTGCATAAATGAATATTAGTCCGCTTTCGTCCTTAGATGCAGGTCAACTAGTTGGTTGATTTATCATTTGTTTTAAGACCATTTATCTTTATGATATCTTTTAGGCAGGTATTGTTCCGCTGATTTAAAGTAATCACAATTTAGGTCACCTGAGAGAATAACCTCTTTGTCCTCTTGTGTAAGGTGGTCATCACCATCTTGTTAAATACCTCATTAATCACGCTGTAAACTAACACGCAGCAAACGACCGCGCGCCGCCATCTTGAATTTCTGCAGCGGGACAGAAAGTGATATCAGCGATAAAAAATCACACAGTATCCCTATCTGCCCCATCTAAACAAAATCCAAAATCCGTAGAAAATAGCAACGTAAATCCATAATCTGATACTACGCGACTGCTAAGTCCGCAACCCGTAATATTTTCAGGGTCTTTAATGGTGAATTACCAGTACTGACAGAAATTGACAAAGACTTCATATATCATTAGAGTTTGCTGCTTGACTAATGTATGCATTGCAATATAATCATTTTTGTAATCAAGGAGTGCTTTTCTGTAGGTATGCTAGTACTAAGCTGGGATGTTGTCATTTTCCCGTGTCATTTTCTAAACGTTAGGAAATGATGACAAATTTTGTCCTGCTGTATATTGAAAGGTTGTTTCTTGTTCAAAATGTTGATCGTTTTTTTACTGTGTATAATCCTTTCACATTTGTTATAAGCCGCATTATTGCTTTAAAGGCATACTTCATTCCCCTAGGACCTGCAAGGGAAGTAAAGCATTAACATCTTCTAATTTCCCAGACACCTTCTTCCCATCTCCTTTCTCAGTATGGTTCATTTGCATTAAGAAAACACCTAGCTGTATACATTG